CATTAAACACTAACAAAAATATAGCCTCTAATATTTTGCAAATACACATTTTAACATTTACTATTCTTACTGAGTCTAAAGCAAAGCTAGGAACTAGAAATCTACCGTAACTCATTCGGTTTAAATTCCTCTTGATATAATCAGTTACTAAGTTCACATAACCTTTTCTGTTCAGTGAATTTTCAGTAATATTTGAGTAAAATTCCCTTGTTCCATTTAGTAAATGTGATTTTAGATTTCACAGTGTCAAAATCAGAGAAACTAAGGTTGCAAAGGTCAAGATTTGGTTGTTTAGCATCAGAGATTATAATACCTTGAAAAATCGAAATAGCTATTTACTAATGTCACGTGTTTGTCTCTGTTTAGTTCCTGTTTGCCCCTATTTTCAGTTCCTGTTCTCATTTAGTTAATCATTGTTTATTCTGTTCACCTGTTTTGATTGAGTTCCAGTTTTGCCTTTTTCAGTTTTGCCTAATCGCGTTCCATGTTTTTATATACCGTGTTTTCCTCAGTTCCTTTGTCTTGCTTTGAAGTTATATTGTGGTGTTTTACTCCTATGTTCTTCTGTTTAACTCTTGGCGTCTTTTTCCCCGTGTTTGTTTTCTGCCCTTTTTGAATAGTTTTTGTTTTCCCGTTTTTTCCCCCGTGGCATGGAAACCGCTGCACGTTTCGCCGCTCCGAAGAAGAGCCCGCCGGCCGCTCCGCCTATTTTCAGTTCCTGTTCTCATTTAGTTAATCATCGTCTATTCTGTTCACCTGTTTTGATTGAGTTCCAGTTTTGCCTGTTTCAGTTTTGCCTAATCACGTTCCATGTGTTTATATACCCTGTGTTTTCCTCAGTTCCTTTGTCTTGCTTTGAAGTTACGTTGTGGTGTTTTACTCCTATGTTCTTCTGTTTAACTCTTGGTTTGATAATTAAAGACTTACTTCTGGATTACCCTGGCACCGTGTGCTTCATCCCAACCCACATCGTGACAACTAAATCAGTTGAAATAAATACGATTTACAAAGTAAATGTATTTAATTTGATTATAGTAGATGCTGTGCCAGTAATGTATCTTGCAAGGCTCTTAAAAGCATAAAATATAGGATATAGTATAGTCGCTAATTAAGGGATCGTGTGCATTACAGTAATGTCATCAGCCAGTCAGAGTTTATCAGCATGTCAGGACACAATTATCTTGTGGCTGCATCATTTCACAGCTCAGGTGACTGGCTTAAATAAACAATTAATATGTATATAGAATAAAATGCTGTTTTATTAGAAATAAGAGAGAACTTTTATGAGAGAATAGACTGTTAAAAGTTTTCTGAACTTAATGTACAATAAATTGCATGTCCAAAAATGTTTAGAATGTTGCTCTGCCCATCTCAGACCAGCAGGCAGAGGTAGCAGGGCACAGAGAGAGATGGATGAGATCTACAGCCAGATGTCCTCCAATCTCCCACAGGATGCCAGATTACATAAAGACTTTAATCCAGATTAACAACATCCAGGGGTTGGTGTCTAGTTTTAACAGCACAAATAATCTACAGAAATCCACTATGATCAGTGCCAGGCCTAGAAGACCAGAAGCTGATGGCAAATAAATAAACCTCCTGGGTTATATAAAAGAAGAGGTTGAAAGATATGTCATAGTAGAAACAGTTCACATCCTGATGTATTCAGTTCTCAAAAGCTCAAGAAATGTGTCATGAATTCAAATCTTAAAAGCTCAAGAGCATGTTGAACAGAAGATACATTTTTGAAGAAGAGAAACGTTAACAGTGGGATGAGCCATTAATCATGAGGGAGGATTATACACTACACCCTTTCATAAGGGCCAATCAGGCTGAAACAGATGGCATTATTTTGCGCCAAGGGGATCATAGATGAATCAGGTCTGATTCTGAAATACTTTTGCATCCATAATGCCTCAGAGGAAAGGACACACTAAAGAGAGTGTGGACAGGAGCTTTGTTTTTGCATTATGTCTAATTAGAGTTTCACTTCTGTCTGATGTGATGAGGTTGTGTAGAAAACAAAATGGTCACATATGGCACCGTTTGAGGCATGTTTGCTTCAAATTAGCAAACGCATTCTTTTTCAAACTCATCTTTTCATCGCTTCTACACATGAACACACAAACCCACACTGATACAAAAGTTCATGCATTAATAAACAGATGTTTAAACAATGCTGAATCCAGGTTTCTTGTTTTCTTTTATTAATAGTATGTTAGTCATAAGCGATCTCACTGACTGAATCATAGCCAATGCACACAAAATCCCTGCACCAAAGCAATGATTTTTCAAATCAGTCTCCTAATTTGCTGCTTGAATCAGGAATAGTCTGTTTTCATGTTTATAACCATTTGATTTGTGACCATAGCTTGCGCATAGAGAATTCATGGTGGAAAATGTCATTGATTCTGATTGCTACTCTAGGATAAAGTTGTCTGTAACTGCTGGTCTAGGATAAGTTTCATAAAGACAAAGATTAGTGAAACGCAAAAGCTGAATCTACATCAGTGATTGCAGACAGCTGCTATTATGCATCACTTGTGATGCAAATTTATAAAAAATTATATATATTTTAGATTTAAATGATCATTAAAGTTATTTATTATTACTTTTTGATAATAAAGGCAGTGTAAAATGCATTTAGTACATTTTGATACTACAAATGAATTGAGAAGTGAACATCTTTATTTATTTATTTATTTTTTACATTTACATTGTCAAAATATCCTTAGAACTACCTTTCTCTATAAAGTATTTTTTTCTGTATATTCTTGGCCATATACTTTTTTTTTATTCCTTGCACATTTACACAGAACCCAAAAGGTTAATTGGAAAGATCAGGGATTATTTATCCATTCTTATGGTTCTACATCCTTTGTTATGTGCACCCAGCAAGATCATGCCTTATATGATTTTTTTTTTTTTTTTGTTAAATACTATTGCACAATTGATTTAGTAATGGCATTGTATCACTGAATACACAGTAATAATTTATTCAAAATTCAACCATGTAGTCTACTCTAGCTACTGTTGTACTATCAGTATACCGGTGGTACAATACACATTACCTGAGGTGCTGTGGCCTACACATTACAGTATGTCCACAGTATAACTATTAGATCACCCCCACTAATTTCAGAAGCACCGACAGTGATTTTGGCCTGTGCGCAGCATTGTAAGAGCAGCATTGCTCATGACATCTGATTGGGAAAGTGGGTCAAGCTTTCTACTAAAGAGCTTCTGGCCTCTTCCTCTGTAGCGGCTATCAAATTAAGCACGCTTTGTGCATGGCTGAGCAATGCTCAGAAAAAGCTCCCCCCGTTTCCATTGCGCATCTCTGCACGGCGCTCAATGTAGAAAAATGAATTGTTAGAAGAGGGTCTTCCCTCTCTGCACTGCGACTGAGGTTTTAGTTCCAATAAAGAGTGATGTCTCTTATTTAAACCTACTGAGGCATGAACTGCATTACATACAGAAAGAAGATATTAACAATGAATCCATTAAAGAGAGACAACTTTATTTGTATTATATACATGCCCATTTTTATTTGTTTTTAGTAACTTGCTGACTTGCAACACATACTGTATGAAGGGGAATTAATTTTTTTATATATTGTCTCATTATTTTTATTATTGTCCTATAATATCATATCATATCGTATTGTATTGTGGTAACATGTTATTTTTGTATGCTGAACTTCATAGGAATAAACAAGAGCTTATTGTGATTGAATGCAAACTGACAGCATTTAGGAAGGTGGTTTAAAGTTAATAAACCTACTCATTAGTTTGAATTTCGAAAAGAATCACAGGAAAACAAAATACTTTTCTCAGACTTGTAATTCAGCCAAGAATTACAAAACTTAGCTAACATGTATCTTCAATGATGACAGTTCTAATTCCACCATGCCACTGTCTCAGTTTGATAGTTTCTAACAGTGTAAAATAATGAAAATTATTCTGAATTTTGCAGTGGTCTACCTCTTTTGTCTAGCCATTGTCAAACAAATATTGCAGAGGAGGTTCTGATATAAGACATAAACCATTATCTGAATAAAGAAAAGTTAAACATGTCATTTTCATGCAAAGACATGGCAAATTGATATACCTTGTGCTGCAAATTAACTAGATGTCATTGACTTCTTTTTTATGTAAATGTTGCATATTCATGGATTGCCAAAATGGCTTTCAAATTTAAATCCCCTAAAGAACCACATATCCTGAATCACCCTAGTAAATCCAAGAGCATGAACTGATAACGCTATTTTATGATGATGATAATCAGGATAATGACTGTACAGATATTTTCAGTTCTGATCAAAGTCAATCCCGTGGCGCAGTGCCACCTCAACTATCTGTCACATACAAAGACGGTGCAGATATCCATAGACAAGTCTCGTGGTAATTGCCCAATAATTAAATTATCTTACATAAGCTTAGTTAAATGTACACATTGTTGTGAAGACAGCAATGAGGAAGAAATAAAGGACATCTAATTGACCAGTTTCCCCAAGAGATAGCCACACTTTCTACAAACACGCATTGTTCTTTTGTATTTGTTTAATTAGGTGTAGTGACTCATTTAGGAATGTCTGTGAGAATCAAATCCAACCATTTCCAAACAATGTCCAGCAATGTTTAAACAATAGTTGTAGCGATTCATGAATTAATGATGTGTTTGACATGCGGTCGGCCTAGCAAACAAAACTAGTTTTAAAGCAGATACGTTAAAGGTATTGTAGATCAACGTCTAGACTTACATTTTGTAATGCTATTTATAGTATGATCAGCCAAAATTATGTATAACGTCAACATGCATATTTTTGTTTTCAATCAAAAGTAATACAAATACATAATAAGAAAAAAATGTTACATATTATCCATTTCCATTTCCTTTCAAATTTTAAATGCATATAATAATGGATATTCAGAACAAAACATCCTTCTGAAACATTCTCAGAAAACAATAAAAATAGAAGCTTGAAAAAGAGGCTTTACCTTGGGTGCTACTGGAAACAGATGGCCACCACTTTCGATGTTTGCGAAAAGATGAATAAAAACGGGACGACAGGCAAAGGGAAAATTATTTTACCCTATCTTCTCGGTTAACTCAGATTGAAAGGTGGCATCCAATTGGCTAGAAGATGAAGTCATGTGAACACAATGTCACAACACGTGACTTTCTCACGAAACAGAATGATGGCAAAAACGCAATTGGACTGAAGTGATTTTGGGGTTCGTTTTGATCTTCGGACAGTGTTGTGAAATGCTAAAAGCAGGTCAGGAGACCATGGGCGCAGGGGCACAGGGGTTTCCCCTCCTGCGAGATATCCGAATCCGTCCAATGAAACACTCTGGCGATTCAGCAAAAACAATTGGATGGTGCTGTGTCATCCATGTTCTTTACCCTGAGGGTGTCCCGGTTATGATGATAGATATTTACTCCTACAATGAGTAACAAATCACCCCCTGCCCCACATCACAAAACAAAGCAGTGTTTCAAACCAAAGGTATAGAGTATAATAGGTACCAACTTCATGGCAACAAGGACCACTTCCCTAATTGAAATTGATAGGGTATTTACATCTTTACATTCTATAGCACACAGGGATAAATTAAGACTGTCCATTATGTTATGTTGTCGCCCCAATGTACCCTACTACACTTTCAATTCTATGCTCCAGCCAGCCCATAATTACAATGAGCTTTAGCATTCTCCTCCATGGATTAAGTGACCCAGAGCAAATCCATGGCAATATTAGGACAGTTGTGGAGGGATTATGCTTCAGTCATTATGACTGAAATGCTCCGTTCAGACAGTTATTGTATAAATATTCTCCATTCTTGTACTTTTATATAAAACCCCCCACCAAATTTTGTGTTTTGTTTCCTATTTCATTGTAATTGCTCCAAAACCAAGTGACCGTAGTTTATTCCTTTGGGCTTAAGCTCTTTCATAAAAACACTCTCACTATCTTTATTAACATAAAAATGCAAGTTTTTTTCATGTTAGACTTTTGAAAAACTTGACAAATTTGTTTCTGATCTTTGGTTATGACCATAATTGAGGGTGATATGCAGCCTGCTGTCTATTCAATGGCCCCTGGGGAGATGACACAAATAGAGCATTAAATTTGTTCCACATTGAAATAGGCAATGCAGTGAAGCTCCAGACTGTTGTGAAGAGAAAAGCTGCCCAATCAAAAGAAATAAAGTTCATGTTCAGGCATCTTTGGTGTAAACTGCCATGCAATCACTTTCCAACCCCCTTCCTCTTCAGAGATATTGGATGCTAAGCCTGTATCTGGACTGAATGACAACTCGGATGCCCAGCCCTGGGTCAAAATACTGAGTTAAATCTAATTATCTCTGTAAATTTAAAAAGGTATCTTTTGAGGTTTATGATAACTTTATACTTTTCAATACCTTAGAAAGAGTCCCTGAAAATTATCATGTATTTTGATGAGCAAAATTTCAGTGTGCGCACTTTTTTGGTTTGAAGTAAGGGAAATCAGGGATGTATGCAACAATTTTTTGCTGTAACATTTGTTCTTAACTCTGAAGCTTTGATATTATTTTCCTATGTTTATCTACAAATTAAAGTTGTTTGGAAATGTACAACAACTTTCAAACAACCTTCACAAACAACGCCACTTCCACGTGCCACGCTTCCCTCAACTAAAACATCACAAACAGTGCTTACGGGTCTATAAAAGTGAAAAAAATTAAAATGAAAAATAGGCTATTTTCAATAAAAGGTCAAACATATTAGGAATACTTTTAACTTGAAATTTATCTTACCTGTCGAGAAGACACAAATTTGTTGTATCGAATGAAACCCAAACATTCTATCAAATTCCTCTAGCTTGTAAATACACTGCCAATGTTTACCCTTTTCTGTCTCTGTATATTTTGGCAAGTTTTGAAATTTGGGCTTGAATTTCTGTAGCGGAATCTGAATTTCTTTTTCCACACCGGCTAACCTATACATACATATTTATGGGCTAAACACCTTCTGGCTCAGCCTGCTACAGTAGCCACGCTCCAGACACTCGCCCTTGGCTGGGCGGAGATATGCAAATACAAGCAGGTAGCACATCTTATAATTGTATACAAACTGAATACAACGATTGGACGAACATTTTATGGTCCTGAGCCCTCCACAGAAGATATACTGTATATATACAGTTGAAGTCAAAAGTTTACATACACCTTGCAGAATCTGCAAAATGTTTAAATTTATTTTACCAAAATAAGACAGATCATACAAAATGCATGTTATTGCTTATTTAGTACTGACCTGAATAAGATATTTCACATAAAAGATTTTTATATTTTTTTAAAAGAAGTTTACATATCGTCCACAAGAGAAAATAATAGTTGAATTTATAAAAATGACCCCATTCAAACATTTACATATCGATTCTTAATGCTGTGTTGTTACCTGAATGATCCACAGCTGTGTTTTTTAATAATACACTCTAAAAAATGCTGGGTTAAATAAAACACAGTGCTGGGTAAAATAGGGACAAACCCAGCAATTACATTTAACCCAACCGCTGGGTCAAAACAACCCAATTGCTGGGTTTGTCCCTATTTTACCCAGCACTGGGTTGTATTTAACCCAGCATTTTTTAGAGTGTAGTTATTCATGAGTCCCTTGTTTGTCCTGAACAGTTAAACTGCCTGCTGTTCTTCAGAAAAATACTTCAGGTCCCACAAATTCTTTGGTTTTCCAGAATTGTTGTGTATTTGAACCCTTTCCAACAATGACTGTATGATTTTGAGATCCATATTTTCACACTGAGGACAACTAAGGGACTCATATGCAACTATTACAGAAGGTTCAAACGCTCACTGATGCTCCAGAAGGAAAAAATAATGCATTAAGAAAACATTTTGGAATTTGAAGATCAGGGTCAATTTAACTTATTTTGACTTCTGGGAAACATGTAAGTATCTTCTATAGCTTCTGAAGGGCAGTACTAAATAAAAAATATGATATTTAGGCAAAATAAGAAAAATGTACACATCTTCATTCTGTTCAAAGGTTTTCACCCACCGGATCTTAATGCATTGTTTTATGCATGCTTAATGCATTCTCAAAATCACAGTCATTGTTGGAAAGGGTTCAAATACACAAAAATGCTGGAAAACCAAATAATTTGTGGGACCTGAAGGATCTTTCTGAAGAACAGTAATGAACATTTTGCAGATTCTGCAAGGTGTATATAAACTTTTGACTTCAACTGTATATCTTTATATTTTGACCACTTTAAAGGGGTCATGAACTGCCTTTGTTTTTTTATTTTGTACTGTTCTCTGAGGTCCACTTATAATGTTATCAAAATTTGTACATCAAAAAACATCATAATTTAGAAGTAATAAGCTATTTTCTGTCCTGTTTTTAACCCCCCTCATCAGAACGCTCTGTTTGAATAGGCGTGGCGGATTGTAGACTCGCAAGTAAATGCCCACTGCTATGATTGGCTAATAGTTATGTATGTTTGACAGTGTACATTCCTCATAGATGGACGCTGCTGTGATTTAGGTCAAAACGCATAAATAACTTAATAAATATCAAACGATCTGTAAGAAGAGACAAAGTAATAGTGACCATGTAATGAAAACAGATACTCACACTTGTGTTGCGAAGTTACTGTCAGATCTAATATAGTCGGCACAGCATCGTCTTTTAGCTTCAGTCTTTTTGAAAATCCCACGTCGATTTGTGCCTTGTTTGTAAAATGAAGTGAAAACAAAGGACCAAGTTCTTACTGACGTGTCTGGATCTTCATTAAAAAAAAAGTTCCCTTCAAGCGGTCACTCTCGACGTCTCGTCGGTAATGACCGACTTAGGGATCTCGCTTAGAGAGACCAATCCACTTCGAGTGTAAACTAAACTAGCCAATGCACATTGGCGTGCGATGATTGCATCCAGCTGCCGCTGATCGCAGCGTGAGTATAACTAGGCAGCAGGTGCAATGCATACTCAGCTTTTCGCTTCGGAGCCGAGCGATCACATCGTTTTGCTCCTGACTACTCTACTGAGAAAAGAAGACTGAACGAGTTCAGCGCGCTCTTTGGAGCTCTTGGTGTTGGCGGTACGGCGCTTCAGCGGTGGTGGTTTCCCATGTCGAGTGGTTTGCACACATCAGGCTGCACTACCCCCTGTTTGTGTTGCAGGCGGCCGTCTACCCTGTGCGCTTCAGCACGCTAAAGAGCTTTTAGAGCTTTTCCCCTGAAACAGCATTCACGGGTGCGTCTTTTTAAAGACGACGCTGCATCTGGCAAACTCGATGTTACGTCTTTGTAAAGATGACGTTGTGTCTGGCAAACTCGACATTACGTCTTTGTAAAGACGACATTGCATCTTGCTACAGACAACATATCACCCGTGTGTTTCTGGATGTGGTCGTTACCTGGCGTCGGGTGATGGTAACGATCGCTGCCTCACGTGTCTGGGCATTAAGGTGGCATTCGTGGATGAGTCATGTTCTCATTGCAGGAAGATGACCATCTCGGAGTTACGGGCCAAGCTCCGTTACCTCAAAAGGGGCGGAGCTCCGTTTCCTCTGCCTCCGTTTGTGGATGAGTCATGTTCTCATTGCGGGAAGATGACCATCTCGGAGTTGCGGGCCAAGCTCCGTTACCTCAAAAGGGGCGGAGCTCCGTTGCCTCTGCCTCGATCTAGTTCTCGTCATGGCAGCGGGGGCTACTTCAGGCAGTAGCACAGGTGGTCTGAGGGTAACAGTGATGGCAAACCTTCCAGGGAACCAACCCTCCGCACTCCTCAACCAGTTGAGCTGCCAAAGGAACGTGTTGGGCCCTCTACAAGGAGTGTACCAGCAGTATTATTCGGCACCCCCCCCAGACGATCGGATGTTGATCGCTGCATCGGAGGGTGAGCCGGAGCTTTCAGGAGAGGAAGATTGCCCTCTGGGACTGTAGCAATGCCTGAATCGATCCGGAAATAATGGCTATGCTTTCCTGGGCTGCCGTGAGGGTAGGGCTCGAGTGGAGACCTCCACCGTGTCCCAAGCCCTCAAGGTTGGACGATTGGTTCTTCGGGGTGGTCCGCGCTGGTTCTCAGCACCCCGCCCCGGTGCCATTCTTCCCGGTATTATTCGGCACCCCCCCCCAGACGATCGGATGTTGATCGCTGCATCGGAGGGTGAGCCGGAGCTTTCAGGAGAGGAAGATTGCCCTCTGGGACTGTAGCAATGCCTGAATCGATCCGGAAATAATGGCTATGCTTTCCTGGGCTGCCGT